AACATACTTTTCCTTAAAATTAAATATAGAGAAGAACAATATTTTATAAAAATTCCACAGACCATAAATGATCTACAGAATCCTTCTGATAACAAGAAAATATTTTAAAGATTAGCTTCCCAGTGTTCCACGTACCAAATGACGTATTTCTTTCTCAAATAAATAGTGGTTTGAAGAATATTTTTAAGGATGTGAAAACAGACATTATTTATAGTCTTCGGAGCGTGATAAATATTGCAGGGACCCCGAACGATCTATAGAACGATCCCGACAGAGAAAGGATACTACTTTCAGGGTTCATTTTCCCAGCAGAACTTTAAAGTTGCAGAGAGAAAATGAGAATATGAGGAATCGGCGATAATTAACGACATATTCGTGAGAATAGAATCGAGTCTATGGGATCCACGAGGAAATAGCGACGAAGAGGCCCGCATATGGAGGCGAGATGGGTTGGGCCGATTGCACATCGAACGGATTGACCGCCGACGATGACCTCTTGGGTGTGACCGAATCGAAATCAATTCCGACGAGCCTTTTTCCAGGACAGAAAGAACGGAAACTATCGCTGTCAGTCAGGATACCTGGATTGTACCTTGCGACGCCCGGCATTCTTCATGCTATCGACAAGCCACGTCAACCACCGACGACTGTTTTTCGTTTCTGATTTTTGTTTCCGACAGCTGGTGGCAGAATTGTCCGATGCGATCGCGTTTGATGGGCCCGATGCACGCTGCACGGTCAAAATGTTTTGGCCAAAAACGTGGACTGTAAATAGTGACTTTAAGATTTACTCTAATTATACAATCGAGAAGATTGATTATGATATAAGGAATCTACAAAGTAGATGTATTCTGTTACTCATCAGACCGTTTCGAAAAATACCTAAGATTCGATTAAATATTCGATCGATCAAAAGTTACTGATCAGACCGTTTCGACAAATATCTAATATTCGATGAAATATTCGATCGATCAAAAGTTACTGATCGGACCGTTTCGACAAATATCTAATATTCAATTAAATATTTGATCGATCAAAAGTTTTTTTCAGTTCGCTTACCTCTATTATAACGAAAAGAGTAAAAAATGTAAAGAATGTACAAAGTAGACGATTCCAGCAATAATGATATTACTCGAAAAACTCTCTATTTATTAAACGCTGCATCAATCAGCAGGAGATAAACCTGTTCGCGTTACTCCACTAAAATAAATCAAAACGTCGGTTAAAAAGTTTCTCATAGAGAAATATAGAGTACACAAAGTACATGATCCGGTTAATGATCAGACGATCCAGAAAAATTCTCGAACACGAAATTGAACGTAAAAAAAAAGATTGAAATATCGATGATAAAATTGCTCATGGGAAAATGTGAGAACCATAGAAAATAGATAACCCTGCGAACGATCAAACGACCCAGAAAAATTCTCCAACGCGAAATTAAACGATCCACCAGTTGGAAATAAATTAAAACATCATAAAATTGCTTGCGTGGAAATAACGAAAACCATCCCAAGTAGATAATCCAGCCAGTGATCAGACCACTCCGGAAAATTCTCCAAGACGAAATTAAACGCTCTACCAGTCAGCAGGAAATAAATCAAGACGTCGATTATAAAATTGTGAAATATAAAGAACCCGCAAAGTAGATAATCCCACTAGCGATCAGACCACAGACAAATTCATCACAAACCGAATTAAAAGCTCTTCCAATCAACAGGGAATAATTCAAAACATCGCCCACCGAACCGTACAAATCGCTCATGGAAAAAATAGGGGAGCACGCGAAGTAGATAATCCAGCCAATGGTCAGACCGGCCCGGGAAGTTCTTGAACGCGAGATTAAACGTTCCGGCAATCAGCAGGAAATGAATTCGTTCCCCGTTATCCAACTGGAAAACACTTCGCCGTGAAATTCTCCGTGACGCGTCGGCCAGGCCAGAAGCGTGAACCGCCATAAATCTGGCGCGGCGATGCGCGTAAACAGAGTACCTCGGACCCTTTAAAGATGACCGTCACAAGCATATAGAGTTGCACAGTGGTTTTGATAGGCCGCCCGGGGCAAATCGAACGCTAGAAGCCGGCCTCTTCTCGGAGCTTCGGACCTTGCGCACCCATCGACCTTTGATCTATTTCCGGCGTGGCGGCGTGTCGCCGCGATAAACCGGCTTGCCAGCACGTATTTCCGGCGGCGTTAGTCAGCCGGTTTAAATGCGCCGCGTTAACCACCGGATTTTCAGCCCCCTCGGCAACCCTTCCTCGCCGGGCGGCTGTATTTCTGACTGGTTCTCACCGACGGATCGAGGTTAATTGGCTACCATTAGGACGGGAATTAGCGCGAATTAGTCCCCGGCGGACGAGGCCCGTCGCCGGTCGAGTTTCGAGCTATCAGTTAATTAATCGCGTGCGCGCGAGAAACTTAAACCGCGCCGAAAAAATAAAACAACGAAGCTCGCGGCCGCAGAAAGCTCTCGGACGAACGGACGGACGGCGGCCATTAATCTTCGTCGCGCGTCGTTTCTCGACCAGAGTCCGGGATATCCATTATGATAGTCGGGCACGGGCTAACGTGGAAATCACCGCGATTCCGCCGCGCGGCGTCCCGTTTCTTTTCGGCGGTCCTCCCCCCCGATTCATCATCGTCAGGGGCCTCTCTCTAACACTGACCTCCCGGTAACCCGATCTAATACGACGACGTAGCAATTGCACCAAATTGGACGGTCGCGTTGTAATCTACTCTAATCTAAGTTAATCGAGCGCCGCCTCGTTCAGCCCGCGGACTCCCAGAAGCGATTATTAATGGGACGAGCTTCTTGAAATTCTTCGGACAGTAGGACGACGTGGAATAATGGGTATCATCGATCAGAAATCGCAGGTGATCGGCGGCGAACGTGACGTGGAACAGGGAGCGGCTAATTCTAATTTCAGTCCGGTGATCGCAATTTAACCAGAATTCCGGATGTATACAGGGTGTTCCAGAATTATGTTAACTCCTGGAGGGAGGAGATTTCTAAGGTCGTTTGAAGTAACTCTTTCCTCGGCGAAAATGCAATCCGCGGCTTCGTTTGCGAGTTATTAAGGATAAACAGTGACCAATGAGAGACGAGCGTGTGGAGCGCTGGACGGCCGAGCCAATCAGCGGAACCGGGCTTCAACCGCTCGGTGACTGGACCGCCTAGCGTCAGCCGAGCTCGTTTCTCATTGGTCAGTGTTTTTCGTTCATAACTCGTAAACGAAGTCGCGGATTGCATTTTCGCTAAGGAAAAGGTTTCTTCAAATGACCTCAGGAATCATCCCTTTCCTTGTGTTAACACAATTATGGGATTCTCTTTATAGTCACACGTCATAGGCTGTTTAATAGGGTCTAAGGCCATCATGCAGCAGTTGACATAAACGTGTTGACTTCACCTACGAAGTATCCACATCCACGATCACAATTTCGACTAATTTACTGCTGTATACTGATCGTAATTTACCAACGATGCCAAATTCTTCATGTCATAATCTATTTAGTCGATCAGGGATCAAGACTCTGATATAGCAGATGACAAAGTATTGCACTTGTAGGGCAGGTGCTGCATAACAGATACCAACTGGTAGCTTCCAACCAATGCACATTACCCACAAAGCTTCTGAAGAACAAAGTGTCGATTAACCTATTGCTGTCCACTGATCGTGATTGCCGCGGACACGAGATAGCTGACGTCTAAAGCTGTTGAGTCAGTCATGGTCTAGGACCCTGATACAGCAGATGACATAACTCCTCGCGCTAGAGGGACAGGTGCTACTTAGTAGGCATGAAATAACAGCTTCCAGTTAGTGCACATCAACCATAAAGTAAGTATCTAACGAACGAAGCGTTGATTAACTTATCACCGTCTACCGATTGTAATTAACGTGGACAAGGAAGTCGCCGATGTCAAAAGCTGTTGAGTCTGCTATCGTCTAGGACCTTGTTCCAGCGGATGACATAAAATCTCGTACTCGAGGGACAGGTGCTATTTAACGAGGCGCCAACTGACAGTTTATAACTAATTTATATCAACTGAAAAGTATCTACTGTCATAGCGCCAATTAACTTATTATCGTCATCAAGCATTGCACTTGTGGGGTAGGTGTTACCTAAAAGGTGCGAACAGTTTCTAAGTTGCAGGGCTTAGGAAAAATAGATTTCTTAAATAGCAAACAGACTGTAAATAATTTCATCTTGTGTAGTGCAGAATTTGACAAATGAAATTTCTTCGAGATAGTTACATATGGAAATAGCATTTCAAATATATGTAATTCATAATTATAATTATAAATACTAATAATTATTATTATATATATAATAATATAATAATTTAGTAGCAATAATAGTATAGTATAATAGTATACATACTAATATAATAATAATAATTTATAAATGATTATAATGCTTTATAAATTATAATGTATATAATAATAATATATAGTATAATATAGTATATATTTTATAATATATGTATATAATAT